AAATACTGTATCATCCAGCACTGGTCAGCCATCATGAGATTTTGCACACGACGGCGAATACTGAAAGGCGAAGCGAATACAATCGATTGCTCACACGAGTAACCTAGGAAAGATGAGAATGTTGGCAGAGGCTGGCTTGAGCCAAAGCAGCTGTGGAGGAGAAAGAGAAGCAGGAGAGTCTTTCCGTCCTCAAGTACGGCGAGATTGTTTCGTGGCGTGGACTTTTTGGCGGCCCCACGGGCTGCAACGGGCTTCAGAAGGCCCAGTATGAGTCATGAGGAAGCCGACCGTCACGACTCCTTGGATCAGGAGCTGGTAGGGCCAGCACGGTTTTGGCCTCGCTGAGGTGCTCGAACATGTTGAGCACGGTCTTGGTGTGCATGACACATGGTGTGATCGAGCCTTGGCGTGGGGACTGGGAAATACGGCTTCGCCCTCCTCCTCCTCCTCCTCCTCCTCCTCCTCCTCCTCCTCCTCCTCCGCCTCCTCTTCCTCCTCCTTTTCCTCCTTCTCCTCCTCCTCCTTCGCCTCCGCCTCCGCCTCCGCCGCCGCCTCTGCCTCTTCCTCCTCCTTCTCCTCCTCCTCTCTCATCCTCCACCATCCCTCCTTCTTCCAATTCCTCCTCTCTCATTCCTTCCCCCTACTGCTGCTGCTGCTTCTGTTCCTCATCCCCCTCCTCCTTCAACTCCTCACCGTCACCATCACCATCACCATCACCGTCACCGTCACCATCACGACCACCGTCAGCATCACCACCCGCTCACCACCACCACCATCACCACCACCACCACCATCATCACCATCAGCATCATCAGCAGCATACTCATCAGCAGCATCAGCATCATCAGCATCATCAGCAGCATACTCATCATCATCATCATCAGCATCATCAACATCATCATCACCATCATCATCAGCATCATCTTCGTCGCCATCAGCATCATCATCATCATCATCATCATCATCATCATCATCAGCATCATCATCATCATCATCATCATCATCATCATCATCCTCATCAGCGCCATCTGCATCATCAGCATCATCAGCAGCAGCATCAGCAGCAGCATCAGCAGCAGCAGCCGCATCATCACCACCACCACCACTACCACCACCACCACCATCATTATCAGCAGCAGCAGCAGCGTCCTCTCATTCAACCAAATATTCGTCCTCATCCTCACCCTCACCACCACCACCAACAGCAACAACATCAGCATCATCAGCAGCAGCATCATCATCGGCATCAGCATCACCATCAGCATCATCATCCTCATCAATATCATCATAATCGTCATCATCAGCAGCAGCATCGTCATCAGCATCAGCAGCATCATCATCATCAGCAGCAGCATCATCAGCATCGTCATCATCATCATCATCAGCATCAGCATCATCATCAGCAGCAGCATCAGCAGCATCATCATCGTGATCAGCATCATCATCCTCTTCCTCGTCCTCATCCTCCTTCTCCTCCTCGAAATTGCTCCTCCACCTCCTCTTCCTCCACCTCCCTGGCTCCCTCCCTCCCGACCAACGATGTCCAGTATAGTGACGACAGTATGTTCAGCGTCTGGGGAGCTGCCTCGCAGCTCGTTGGGAAAACGGAGGGCCCATTTTATATGGTGTCTAACACGTTTACTCCGGTTGGCCTCAAGGCGAACGTGGGCCCTACAGAGACGGCCCTCATGATGACCTTCAGGAGCTCTGGATCCAGGACGGCTTGCAAACAGCTTTGGATCGAACAAGGTGGGACTGTCTCGGTGGCCCCCAACGAGACCTTCCCCAAGGGCCTTGAGGTCTCCGCGGTCCACGCCTTCAAGCATCTGGGGGGGGCTCTGAGATAAACAGGACCTGGCCCCAGAGATGGCCTACAGAAGACCACTCTCCCCAACCCTCAGATCACGAGAAGCCACGAGCTCCAGCTGGCGGACTCGCCGATTCTCTAAGGCAGCGTCTACGAGGCTGCGACGTGGCCGACAGCTGCAGCAGTTCAAGCCTCTCGCTACCGCGCCTCGACGGTCAGGATTTAGCGTGTAACTATCGACAAGCGGGCACATGATGACAATGCTGAGGAGGGTCAGGCGGTGCTTGCAGCTGCCAGCAGATGCGACGTTAACATTCTCATGAAGTGGCATCGACTCAGGTACCTTGGGAGATTGTACTGGCATGGCCCGAAGGCCTGCTTTGGGCTTCTCAGGGCTACCTCGTCCAGGGCTGCGTCGAGGGTCAACAGGGTGTTCGAGGACCTCATGTGGCATCGCACTCGGGTTTCTCGGCTTCAAGAAGTTCCTAGTCCTGTCTCGGGTTTCGGGGCCTAGAAGAAGGAGATCACGAACCGAAGGAGTCAGTGGGTTAAGCGTGTCAGGTCAGGTATCAAGACACACATCAGGTGGAGCGTTCGCATTGCCGACGACAGACTACGGACACCCCACTTGTTTCAGCATGCTGCTCGCATTGGTGTGCCACCAGATCTGTCTCTGACACCGGCACCTTCTGCGAGAGTCTATCGCTGCCAGTTCTGTGCATTGCCCTCTCCGAAGAAGACGGCTGCCAGTAACCACGCTAACAGACAGCACTACCAACAAAGAACACTTGCAGCAAGATACATTCATGGCACTACCTGCACAGCACGCATTATCAAGTTTCACACTATCGAGCTGACTATCGATCACGTGGCCTACGGCAACCCCAACTGTAAGTTTACAGCCCTTGCGTTCCTGGTGCCGCTTTCCGAAAACGTCTTGGAGAAAGTTAGGCATCTGGAGGCTGAAAAAAGGACGAAGGCCCTAGCCTCAGGGGCAATAAGGAGAGGAGTCTGGCTGCCCGCCTGCCGCCCTCCTGGACCCCTCGACCAGCCCCAACGGTACCCCCTGAGCTACTCTGATGCAGGGACCTCTTACGTACCATGGAGTACCAGCGCCCCGAAGTTCCTCCAGATCCCCCTCCAGCTGAGCACCCTCGCCCAGGACTTGAAACCGTCCCGGAGGACGAGCATCTCTTCGAACCTCTAGACTGCGTGGGCCCTGCTGCGGAAGCGTTTCCGCAACCTGTCTGCTAGCACACCATTGCCTTTGTGTACAAATTTTCTGGAGCACGCCGCGAGAATGACGTGCAAGACGCACTAGATAGAGTTCTTGTAGCAGGGCGATGGACCATCATCATGCCTTCTTGTGTTGTGGCATGCGATCCTGTTCTTGGTGATCTCGCTCGTCCGGATATTGTGGAGAAGCAGGACCTACTTCTCAAGACGCGTCGTGCCATTGGCCTCATAGGGGATCCCCCGTGTAAATCCTGGTCTGCGGCTACATGGCAGGAGCTACATACCCCTGACCGTCACCAACCTCCTGTCCCCCTCAGGACCCTCAAACACAGACGGGGAAGACCGGATGTACTGATACAGCAACATCAGCAGCTCATGATAGGGTCCAAGCTCCTGCGCAGCCAGCCCTGGTTGATGTTGATGACCTGCCTCGACGTGGGAGTATGCGCGTTGATGGAGCACCCAGAGGCCCTAGAATGGGAGCCGAGGTGTCCCAGCTCTTGGCAATGTGCCACTTCCTGTGCCCTATCTGCCTCACCCCCTGTCTAAGCTCATCTCGTTTGATCAGTGCGTGTTTGGTCCATGCAATAGAGCCCAGACTTCGTTTCTGTCAATTCGACTTGGCTCCCGTGAGGCCATACATGATCGGGGACGTGGGGGGAGGTGCGATCCCAGAAGACGAGCCCACAAGACGCTCCTTGGAATCGACCCAGAGACGGGCAAGTGGCGTACGGCTCCCACGAAGCGTTACCCACCGGAGCTGTAGAAACATAGCGATTGGAGCGTTCCAGTATGTATTTACCCCTTGGACCTAGACCTCAGTGAACTCCGCCTGCCTGTTCCCTCCTTCTCCTCCTCCTCCTCCTCCTCCTCCTCCTCGTCCTCGCTCTCCTCCTCGTCCTCCTCCTCCTCACCATGTATGATCGCGAAGCTTTAAATTCGCATCAGTCGCAAGGATGAAAGGGGAACGTCAGAATGGGGCCCTCGCCCTAGCGTCGCACACATTCGTCTGAAAATCTTGCGACAGGTACAAGGAAGGAGGAGGGGTGGTGCTCAAAACGGGGCTCTCGCCTGATTGCCGCACACATTCCTCTTAAAAATTTGGTTTCAATGATGGTTTTCGAGGTGTGGCTCTCGTCTTCGAGCCGAGCACATTTGCATTGAAAGTGTGCAGCCACTTTCTGGATGGAGGGTGGCTCCTCTTCAAAACGGGACACTCGCCCCAGCGCCGCGCATGTTTGAGTTAAACGTATGCACAAGCTTCAAGGATGGAGGGGGTCATTTTCAAAATGGGCCTCTCGCCGTAAGACCCCCCACATGACCCCAATGAGCCCCAGAGAGCCCTAAGAAGCCCCCAGTGGGGGCCCTGAAAACGCTCCGACGACGTCGCCACGGAGGCATCCAAGAGACCCCCCAGAAGCCCTGCAACAGACTTTGAGGAAGAGGAGGACAAGTCGGCAACCTCTACACGCAGGCAGCAGGGCGGGACGCGGCGAACGACACATACGAAATCGAAAGCCACACATCTTCTCTTCTAGGATCGGCGCAGAGGCGAAAGCATCAGAAATATCAGCGGCTGAGTAAGAGTGGGTCTGAATGCGAGTGGAACTCAGTATGAGTAGTTGTGCGTACCAGTCTGGATATGAATGGCTGGGCATGAGTGCGCCTGAGTATCAGAGGGGCAGGGCCTGCGTCGGTATGAATATGACTGAGTCCGGGTATTACCGAGCCTGAGCATGAGCGGATCTGAGTATGAGCGACTGTGAACGAGTAGGGACTCGGTTCGGCGGCGAGCGAAGGGGGGAAGTGAGAAGGAGAAGACGTTCTCAGAAGGCGGCGGGACTTCTCACAAGCCCTCGCGCCTCCTGAGAAGTTTTCTGCGTCTTCGGGGAAGGCTTAGAAAACTTCTGAGAAGGCTGGGGGACTTCCGAGCCTTCTGAGAAGGCCTCCTCCTGCTCACTTCCCCCCCTCGCTCGCCGCCGATAGGTGTGACGTGGGGGTGTGAGCGCGTCTGAGCACTGGCGACTGAATACATATGAACATGAACCTGAGCGAGTCCGCGAATGAATGGCCGAGTACAATGCAGCCTGAGTGTGAGTGGATCTCAGTATGTGTGGATCTGAATTCTGATGGGCGATGCTGAGCACGTGTGAGGCAATCCTGGGGCCTCATTGAGCATCCTTCGCTTTTTGGGACCTCCTTCGGTCTCCTAATGTTTCCTGAGCCGTCCTAGGGCTTCCCCTGGGGCCTCCTGGAACTGTCTTGGGAATCTCGCGCACCCGACGAATCCTCCTGAGGCCTCTTGGGCCCTACTGCGGCTTCCTGACACGTCCTGGGCGAATCTGGGAGGTGCCATAAA